AGTCAGCTATAAGCAGAACAGGTCAAAGGTCTACTCTCCTGGAGGCTGTGCAGAGGGAGGAACCAACAGTAAACACAGCAAACATCAGTCTTCTCACTGCTGTAACAAAATAGCTTATACCAGGTGATTTATTAGTAACAGAAATTCACTGTGGTCTGTTTGGAAAGGTAGGAAATCCAAGAGGAAGATGCCAGCAGATGAGGTGGCCAGGGCAGGCCTGTTCTCATAGATGGTACATTCTAGTAGTGTCCTTACATGGTAGGAGGGCCGAGGGGACTCACTGTAGCCTCTTTTATAAGGGTACTCACTAACCATTTAGGAGGGCAGAGCCCTCAAGACTTCATTACTACCCAAAGGCCCTGTCTTTAAAAAAATTTTTTTTTACCTTTATTTATTTGGGGGAAGGGTATGCCAGTGTGCATGTGGAGGTCAGAGGGCAACTTATAGGAGTCAGTTCTTTCCTTCCGTTATTTGAACTCTGGGGATTGAACTCAGATCATCACGATTGGAGGCAAGCACCTTTACCTCCTGAGCCATCTTGCTGTGCCTGGTCCCTGGCTCTTAATACTACTGCATTAGATAATACAGTTTTCAATATATGAGCTTTGGGGGCTACTCACACAGTGATCACAGCAGTCAGTAAATAGGTCACAAGTGACACTGTGATAAGTTCTAAGAAAGAGGAAGCCCGGAAGGGTGAGAAAGTGCTGGGGGATTTAAAGCAGGAGGCAAGGCTGTCCTTGAGAAGCTATCTGAGGAAAGATTAGAAGGAGGTATGCAATTAGGCCGAGGCAGGGCTTGAGTGTCCCAGACCCAGGGAAGCAGCAGCACAAATCCCCCAAGTGGAGAAGCAATGGCTGGTAGGTTCAAGAGCAGCACACATCCCCACATTGCTGGAGCTGAACAAGTAGGGAGGACCATGGATGTGATCAGAGGAAGGATATGATCAGAGGGAGGTGACAGGCTTGGATTCTGAATGACAGGAAGACTAGAACAGGGGAGTGACACGATCTGATCACAGAGAGCTGATGAGAAGTGGGAATCCACACAGGAGGCCATGATCCACAGAAGGGATGATGATGGGCTAGTCCTAGTGGGTGGGGAAAGGGCAGGAAATGGGCTAGTGGAGGAGGGCAGGCAGGGAAGTGCCTAGACTTGGTCCAAGTGTGGAGTTACACTGCAGGAAGTGCCTGCAGGATTTTCTGAGGGGGTAGATGGAGGGTGCCATGCAAAGAAATTAATCTACAAGAATGTTGGGAGTTGAGGTGCCTGCCAGGGGCCCAGAGAAGAGCTCAGTTCTGCTCCCCATGATGCAGCAATGCACATGGGCCAGACTGTTCATAGTCAGAGCAGGGGGCGGGGGGGGCCCTCAGAGCAACCTTCCTGATGGTCACATGAGATGATACCATCATGGCTGTTCTGTGCCACTGGTCTTGAAGAACAACTGCCGACCACCACAGTGGCCAGCAAAGGGGTCGAAACCGAGGGCTACTGCCCACCTCCTCTCAGTCTGGGATGTCCAAACCCCATCTTCCCTGGAGGATGGCAAAGTAAGACAGTCCTCCTACCCTAACCGCATATCTCAAGAGCCCCCCATAGCAGCACTTAAAAGAGGTCGGGTTATCTACAAAATTCCAATGCTCTGATAATATCCAGGCTCTGATAATTTGCTAACTCACTCCAGAGTCACTGGAAGTCAAAATATTCTGTTATTCGATCTATGCTTATGTTTCAGAATGGGGGGTGTGGCATGAACAGTGGCCTAGGAAGGTGCAAGCAGAGCCGCCTCCCGCCCCCCCCCCCCCCCGGGGGGCCCTCGGGAGGCAGCCATTTGGCTGATAGATCATCGGGCAGTCAGCCCAGGGTCATATACAAGGCCTGGGCTCTTTCACAGTGAGCACACAAAGTGGAAAATGGGTCTCTCCTTGGGAAGGGAGGAGGGATCCTAGAGGCAGTGCAGAGACTGGTCAGGACCAAGGGAGGAGGATACCTTTTGAACTCTGCTCACAACCTGCCATACTTCTTGGGATTCCTGTTCTCAGATCCACCACTTTGGCAGATCAATGGTGGTGGTCTGGCTGAGATGACCAGTACCTCGTCAAGAAAGAGGCAGCTAGCTCCTGTTGCCATGGCAACTTAAAGGCCAAATGCTTTCCAACTTGTTCCAGCAAGAGCTAGATTGTGCTCTGCAAGGGTGACAGTCCATTCTATCTTCAGACTTCTGCAGACAAAAGTCTGAGCACTTTCCATGTATCAATAGCACTGGCTGGGTTATCTCAAATGACTCTGGCCTTCCGCCACACATACAGCACTAGTGTGCTCTAGAAACTGGAAAACAGAATCCCAGAAGCTGCACAAATGGTCAAAGGTTGAAGAGCCTTAAGTGACAGTGATGGACCCAGAGCGTCATCCTAAATGGTCACCCCTCACTACCTGGGCAACACACAAATAGGGGACTGTTTTGTGAGTTCTACCATTCCTTGGGGTCTTCTTCAGGTGGGCACAAGGCTAGTCTATTGCAGAGCATTAGTGCATAGAGCCACATGAAATAGGGCCCATTGATTTGGCTGACTTGGGGGCGGGGCAGATAAAGCTGGCTATCACCAGCTGCTTCAAAGATCAGTGCTCTCCTGTTCCACTACGGGGCACCCGATCATGGCATCATGGCATTCCCACCCAGGAGGAGAAGCACCCCTCTGCCATTATGGGAGGAGGAAAGGCCATTAAGCTAGGGAGAAGCAATACCAGGTGCAGAGAAGCCCTGGCAGTCCATGACTGCCCTGGAGAGTGATGGAGGAAGAGGCAGGAGCACAGGGTGGGGAGGATGGAGGAGGCAGAAGCCCAGGACTACACAGTCCTCAATAGCGAGGCAACCTGGAGAGGTAGAAAGTGTGGTTGTACTTGGGACCTGGAGATGGAGATGTAGCCTGCTTCCATATCTATCAAATGCAGTAAGAATCTATACTCTCTGGGTACAAGCCTCGTTCACTTGAAGAAAAAAAAAGAGGCTGGCTATTCTTATAGAGGACCAGAATTCGATTTTCAACACCCATATATATGGTGGCTAACAACCATCTGTAACTCTGGTTCCAGAGGATCCAACACCCTCTTCTGACCTTCATGGGCACTGCATGCATGTGGTGCACTTACATACATGCAGACAAATACTCATACACATAAAAAAGTTTTTTAAATTAATTTTGTATGTGTGTATGTGTATGTATGTGTCACAACATGTGTGAGTCATTCTCTCCTTCCACCATATAGGGCATGGGGATGGAACTCAGGTCATCAGACTTGGTGGTAGGCACCTGTATCTGCTGAGCCATCTCACTGGCCTCTCTTTCACTTCTTATTGCTGAGTTTCACTGAACCCTGTGGAGGCAGCAAGGGCAGGGATCCTCTACTACCATGCCCACTTATGGAGGAGTAAAAGGGGATGTGGGGAAGCCACACAGGTGATCTGTCTCAAAAGCAACAGAGTGCACGTGACCTCAAGACCTCGCACTCTGTGGCTTTCACATGTAACCTTGTGAATCTAGGCACTGATGAGTGTCTGATAGTTCCCATTATTTGCTTGTTTCCTAGCTATAGATAGAGAAGACCTTAGCCAGGTCTGGAGATTGTCTGAGCTGTGTAGTGCTTCTTCCTTCCTTAATGAGCACAGACAGAGGCAGGCAGATCTCTGTGAGATCAAGGCCAGCCTGGTCTACATAGTTCCAGACCAGCTGGGGCTACAGAGAAACCCTGTCTCAAAAACCAAACCAAAATGAACAAGCAAAAAGATCCCAGACCATTCCAGGCTCTTAGTCTTACACCACAGTAAAAAAAAAAAAGACAGGCCCATTTGGACTAGGTGTCATGAATAGGTAGACAGGCTTGAACTCTACAATCTCCATGGGCGCCATTCACAAAGAGTGTAGAGAATAGTTCCCTATGAGTTGCGTCGCACACACTCTTATCTTCATCACCTGGTTGCCCCCTGCTTCTCCCATCTGTTCCAGACAATTTCTTTGCCCCTCTGCTTCTCTCTCATCCACTCTGGTACTTTGAGACTTCAAAGCAAAAGTTGTAGAGGGAGGCAATCAACATCCTCTCTAGTCTTCTCCCTCCCCAACAGTCATTCCTGGCTAGCCAGTCTCTTTTCTTCATCAGCTCCTGAGAGAAAGCTGGCTTTTCCTCTCCTTTCCCCCTCCTTTGAGAACTTAATATTTGGGATTTCAGGTAAGGGAACTGCTCTGAGGAGGCAGTTGGTTGTTATGATAGATTTTGGTCATAGGTGGGAAGCTGGGTGGGCCACCTGGACCACCAGGCCAGAACATTCAGACTCCAGAGAAGAGAAAAGCCTGCCAAGTTCCCCACTGCTCGCTGAGCATGAAAACATCAGTTTTGGACCACCAGGAACCAGAGGCTTGGGTTCAAGTCCATCTGCTACATCCTCAACCATCTGACATTGGGAAAACTCCAACCTCAATGGCCACAGTTTCCTACTGTGTAAACAAGACTGAATGCCTATGGTAACATGCTGAAGATAAAGTCATTGATAAAGCTGTTCTTATTTTATGCTGAGATGAAGTCTGCTGCAGCATCCAGATTACTGGGCCACTTAGCAGGTTGTTTAGCACCAGAGTACCAGGGTGGCACAGGCAGCCTAGCTCTGTATCCAGCTGAGCAATCACCACCAACCCCAACTGGCATCTGTACCGCATGACCTTCCTATTTCCTGTTATCTTAACTGCTCTTTAACAGCCCTGAACTAGGAAGATTTTTGAGGAACACCTGCTCCTCAGGAACAGACACCTCCTCATTTGGTAGTCTGGGATAAAGGGAAATTGTCAGCATTAGGAGCTCTGGGAATAACAGTCCATTTCTTGGACACATCTGTAGCTGGGTAGTATGGTTAACTCTCCCTCTACTGTGTTCCCACATCAGTCTCCTCAGTGGCCTCTGCTTTGGCCCACATCTCCTAATCACAAAGGGAGTCAGGAGTCATTACTTACTCCTTTGGAGGGTTGACATCCTCAGGTCGGGCCTCAAAGAACCGAAAGACTTCATCACACTGTGAAATGTGGGGAGGCAGCCGGATGAGTGCCTGGAAAGACAGGGAAAAGAAGTTATTAGGTATGATGACCCAGATGGGGTCAACTCAGCCAGTGGAGGGTAGAGCTTAAGAACTGTGCCATCGGGAGACACAGTCAGCCTGCCAGCCAACAGAGAATTCATCAGCAAATTAATCAGATAAATAATAAAACTCATCCATCCACATACCCACCCATCTATCCATATAATTAAGAACCAAAGTTGGGCCGGGCGTGGTGGTGCAAGCCTTTAATCCCAGCACTAGGGAGGCAGAGGCAGGTGGATCTCTGTGAGTTCAAGGACAGCCTGGTCTACATAGTGAGTTCCAGGACAGCTGGGACTACAGGGAGACCCTGTCTCAAAAAGACCACACACCCACAAAAAAAAACAAAGTCTAGCCAGGCATGGTGGTGCATACCTTTAATCCCAGCACTTGGGAGACAGAGGCAGAAGGAGCTCTCTGAGATTGAGGCCAGCCTGGTCTACATAGCGAGTGCTAGGGCAAGAGGGAGACCCTGTCTAAAAAAGACCAAAAAAAAAAAAAGGAAGTTTAGGCACTAGGGATGTAGCTCAGTTAACAGAGTGCTTGCCTTGCATGCATGAAGCCCTGGGCTCTATCCTTAGCACTGCATAAACCAGGCACGGCGGCATATCCCTGTGACTCTAGCTCTTAGGAGACAAAGGCAGGGGTGTCTCTGGAAGTTTGATATCAGCCAGAGTTACATAATGATACCATATCTCAAAAAACATAAAATGGCTCAGTAGGTAAAATGTTTGTCAGGCAAGTGTGAGAACCTGAGTTCAGTCCTAGAACCCACATAAAGCTGGATATACTAGTGTACATCTGAAATCCCAGTGGTCCTATAGCAAGATGGGAGGCAGAGCCAGGAGAATCCCCAGAAGCCTGTGCACCAGCTAGCCTGGTGTACACAACAGGGAACAGCAAGAGACCCTGTCTTAAGGTGGAAGGAGTGACACTTGAAGTTGACCTTTGATCTCCACATTCACACTGGGAAATACATGAGCCCACATTCACACACACACACACACACACACACACACACACACAATCCAGGTACATATGCACACAGATACCCACAACATACAGAGATTTAAAAATGACAACAGTAACCTAACCAGTCAGCTAATCAACCAAACAATTAACAGTCAACTAATCAATTATGCAGTCAATAATTCCTGAACCCATGCAACCAGTTAGTCAACTAAACAACCATCTAGCCAAGCAAAAAGCAATGAGTGTTGAGCTTAGGTCTCAGGCCCTCAGGGCTACTCATTCCTCAAGAGTCTGAAGGAATCTTATCCTGCCCAAAGTCTAAGCCTGAGGTCATTAGTCTAAAAATGTGAGGCTCACCCTGACGAACCCACAGGATAGGTACAGATCTTAATGAGAGAGTGCTCACCATACCAGCCTTACCTCCCATTAGCCACACTCCACAGTGTGACATAGTCACATTCCTTAGACACAGCTGCATGATTAGTTTTTAGTCACAAGTTGATAACAGCAACAAAGGACAATAGGGTGCCATGGTAGAGTCAGGTAAGACCTAGAAAGATGGGGATGGGGAGTTTCAGGAAGGACCCAGAAGCTGAATTCTGATAGTTCAAGCATGGTGGTTGTGGGAGTTAAATGAAGGTGGGCGTGGCTGGAGTGCATGGAGCAAGGGAGGAAGAGGAGATGGGCAGAGTTGTCAGAGCAGGGCTCATGGGGCCACTGTGTGGATAAAGGACCCACATAGGCTGGAGAGTAACAAGAAGGCTAGGCTAGCAGGGTGAGAGGAGAAGGGAATCCTACAGGACGAAGTCAGGGTAGGGAGTGGCCTGCTGTCCAAGGAGGTGAGTCTAGTGCTACAGTGAGAAGAACTAGATGTCAGAGCTGATAATCTGTAGCCAGGGGCACACAGGAGCCTGGGTCTGGCCCCTCTAAAAGGTGGAGTGGGAGACATGGGGTGAGGCCAGGAGCAGCCCTGCTTCTAGGGTCCCTCCCTCAATATGGGAGAAATACATGGAGTGGGGAGGTTAGGGCCGTTGGACAAAACAGACAGGAGAGGGGATCATGAACCAAACAAAGGGAACCCAAGGCTGGAGCTGGAGAGGAAAGAGAGAAGCCTAGGACTGGGGAAGTCCACAGACACACTGATAAGGAGGCTCTTAGTTCATAAGAAAGGACTTTGTTACATGCTGGTATGGCCCCAACTCCACACTAGTACCTGCTTCAGATGATGCTCCACCCAGCCCCCTGGCAGTTTGCTGGTCGTCCCTGAGTAGCCTCTGGAAATCCTCAGGATAGTCCCACCCCCACATTACAGATGTGGAAGTGAAGGCTCAGAGGGGCCACATGGTTGCCCTGGGTCACCCATGAGGTCTGGGAAGACCACATCAACATAAGCTCTATGCAGACAGGGGCTTTAGTTTGTTCTGTTAACATCCCTGTTCAGAGCAGAGACTCAGTTAATAGTTGGATGAATGATAAGTGGATAAACAATAGGGCTTGGTGTCTAGAAACCCAATACCCAACACAATATTCAGAATAATGAAGCCAAAGAAAAGTACACTTGGCCTTGGGTGGCAGCACAGAGGTATGGTATGGGGAAGAGGGAAGCATGTTTTAATGCTTCTCTGAGCTGGTCAGACAACCTGTCTTGCCCAGCAACAGACATCCTACCAAGAGGGGCTTCTCCATGCCAAACCCACGCCCAAACAAGATAAGACATGACGGAACAAGCCCAGACCTTAGCCAATGAGAACGTTTTGCAGCTCCCCTTCACAGTTAACTCCCAATCATTTTTTTTTTCCTATAACCAATGGCTTTTCAAAGGTCTCCATTCTCCCCATCAACACAGGAAGCAGTAAAGAACAGAAACGAAGGTAAAGGTAAAGGAAAAGAAAGAACTGAAAGAGAAGAACAGTAGGAAACAGGCCTAGCCCAGACCTTAGCCAATGAGAACGTTTTGCAGCTCCCCTTCACAGTTAACTCCCAATCATTTTTTTTTTCCTATAACCAATGGCTTTTCAAAGGTCTCCATTCTCCCCATCAACACAGGAAGCAGTAAAGAACAGAAACGAAGGTAAAGGTAAAGGAAAAGAAAGAACTGAAAGAGAAGAACAGTAGGAAACAGGCCTTAATAACGGAGCTATGGATAAAAATTGGGTTAGTTTAAGGGAGGGGGGAGGGAAGGGTATACAAGGAACCTAGGGGATAAAGGGAAAGAAGGAGCTCAAGAGAGGTAGGACCATAGGAGAAGGGTATTAGTAAGGGAGAAAGGGGGGAAGTGGGGGCACCTTAAGTGGGAAAACCATGATGGAGGGTGAGACAATGTGAGAGATAAACAATACCTAGCCCAAATTATACATACCAGATCAAGAAATATATGTCTAGACAAGATTTATCTCAGAACATTTGGTTTTTGCCAAGCTTTATCTACATAGCACATGGTAATTAAAAGTACCAGACTGGTGGAACTAACCTTCTTGAGTATTTAACAGCCATACTTTGAGGCCTATAATAATTTGGTCAGAGGGACATAAAGGACACTTTTTGCTCCTTGCCCTTCTAGGTCAGCTAGTTCCAGGGGACTATGAGCATCTCTCAAAATGTCCTGTAATTGTGGTGGGTCACCTCTCCTCTTGATCAAGGAGGCCAAGGAGACCCCACTAGATGGACTTGAACCAGTTTCCAGTCTTCAAAGAGGAGGGTCAACATAGAGGAATCACTTCCTCCATGCTTCCATGTGAAACCAACCATGGTCGAGCAGGACCCTTGACTTATCTTCATATAGGTGGAACTGGTAAAAGAAAGGAGCCAGGGGCTCCTCCCAAGCCCATGTGATCCCTCAAATGACCTTAAGAGTAAAAATATACTGGTTTATCTGGGCCAAGTGTACGGCCTTAAACATCCAAAAGGAAAGTATAACCAAAGATTAAAGGGGTCAATATAACTTCTCAAGAGTCCATATGCATAGCTAAAGGTTACATAACAAGCACCAATGACAGATAGGAGATACCTTCTTTTGCGTTGTTGGTCAGGGTGGTCAAAGGGACTCCTAGATAGTAACCCAGCATAGAACCGGGAAAATGAACAGCAGACCCCAATCTTATCCAAAGGAATATCGACAACTGATTACCACTAGATGAGGAACAGCTGACCCTCCTAAAACAAAGACCTCTAGATAGGCTGACTAGATTCACCAGAAGGGCA